TAACTTCTTTGCCATAGCCAATCACCCTGAGGGAGCAAGCTGCTGGACCTGTGGGCTCGAGACCATGGTCATGGGAGACATCAAGCTCAATTGGCATAACACACTACACAAAAACACTGTTCCACATCCTACTTTGGTGAGTTGTGACTGGGGTCTTAAAAGCTTGCAAGCAAACATCTAGATGCAACAACTGGTCTCTCCTTATCTGGAGCAAAGAATAATGAAGAAAATCAAAGATGCCTGGAAACAATAAGTCCAAGGGGCTGGTGGTCCATGTAAACCTTCACTTATATGACCATAAGACCAGAAGAACTAGATGGTCCCCAGCTATCACTGTCAACCACTCAGAAAGGGATCAGTGTAGGAGATCCTAGACAGAGTGTGAAAAAAAGGTGAAACAAAACTCAAAATTACAAAAAGAAAAAAGACCAGGCTTACTGCTTTAATATAGACTACGTAAAACCCCCCAGACTATGGCAAGTCACTCTTCAGGCCTAGAACTGAACTCATTCTCATGGCTTCCAGGCAAACAACAGACAGGCATACAAGATGATCATTTACACCAGGTAGGCATACTACTTAGAACAATCAATCATGGCAAATCAGAATGCCAGTATTTGCACAGGGAGGTAGCTAAGAGAGTAGAAATGCATAGGAAAGAAGGACACAGGGAAAAGGTAACCAGAGGGAGGAAGTGGAAAGAGAGCAATTACATTATGGGGATTGCAATCAATGTCATGAAAACAAAAGGTGTATGAACCACTGTGTGGAAAATGAATTTGCTCTGTGAACTTTCACCCAAATCACAATAAAAAAAGAAAAAAAGAAGGCACCATTTTAAAAACATGTACAAAATAATTATGTATAGTCATTTTAGTCCTGGTTCATTCATTAGCATTTGTGAAAATCATTTACACAACAGGAAAAAAGGTGTCAATTTGGATGCTGGCCTAGTCAAAGTGTGGTCAACTAGGATTTATAAAGTTTCCAAACTGGTTTTCTATATTATCTAGGGTGAACTATGCTTAAAGTCTTAATTTTCATATTAGATTGATGGGGATTACAATACCCACTTACCTCAAAGGGGGTTGAATATCAAGTAAGATCATGTTTGCCAAAGTGCTTTGTCAAGGAAGAGGGCAGAGGTCATTGCTAAAGCACTATGCTGGGTAAAAAGTTTGGGGGAGTGTTTTTCAAGGAGTGGTGGAGGGACCCTGGGCATCAGAGCCACCCAAAGCATTGATTAATAGCAGATGGTGAAGCTAGGCCAGGGATTCACATTTACAAGCCCCAAAGTGATTCTTTCAGGCACCAAAGTTTGAGAAATACCAGGTTAGAGCAATGCTTCTCAAACTTTAATGCACACTTGAATAACCTGGGAATCTTGTTAAAATATAGATTCAAAATCAGGAGGTCTAAGGGGGGCCGGGCTGAGATTCTGCATTTGCAACAAGCTTCCACTGCCACTAGTTCATTGACCACACTTGAGTGGCAGGGGCTTGGAAGATCAACGCCCACTAGAGCAAATTAGCTTGCTTTGTTCCTGCACTGCAGAGTGCATTCCCCAACTTCAGGGATTATTTTCTCAAAAGCCCACTTTCATATTGATATAAAATCACTTCAATTACTCAAAACCAAATTGGAACAGATAGCCTAACACAGGTACACCAAAAGCATTCTTTTCAGATACAAATAGCACAGATAATTAGCATGTGAAAGAACAATTGCAGCTACTACTTGAGTCCTATTCACTGTGCCAAGCACTTACATATATTATCTCTAATCCCACCACAACCCCACAGGTGGATATTCTTGGCCTGGTGCAACAGTTAAACACTTGGTTGCTAACTGTAAGGTTGATGGTTCCAGCCTCCCCTAGGAGAAAAGAGCTGGTGATCTGCTCCTGCAAAGTTACAGCAAAAAAAAAAAAAAAAAAAAAAACCCATGGGAGAAGTTCTATTCTGTCGCATGGGGTTGTATGAATTGGAATTGACTCAACAGCACCCAACAGCAACATATATAAGGAAATGATGACTTAAGGAGCTTAAGTAACTTGCTTATGGTCACAGGGCTAGTTAAATGTTGCAGGTGGGGTTCTAATCCTGGTCCATCAGGATCCAAAGCCTGTGTGACCTCTGTTCTTCCTCCATGGTGCTAGATCCAATGGTATACAGGATGTAACAGCTTGCGAGCAAAAAAAAATTTTTTCCTCCTCTGTTAGTCTTTGAGTTTAATGCTAGGCTTAGGCAGATTCAGGATAGGAAAGTTAAGGGGAAATAAGGTTAATAAACTTGTGCTCCATGTTGCCTCATGGACAAATACGTGCATACAGCATCCCATAAATCTGATAATGCTGACAGAATAAAAAGGACACTAGTGACAAGTGCATTGATCATAAACATGGGCACCTACACACCAGCTTCTAGCTGTTGGGCTCAACCGATACACAGAAAAAATTCTTCTGCACCCTTCCCCACACCCTCCTGAATGAGGCTTCTCTACCTTTAAAAGTTCACAGCCATGGAAGTTTACTTTAGTATATCATTTCACAGCTGCCACACCACCCTCTGATTTAACTATCTGCACTTGGGGAAAAAAATGTAGTCAAGTACCTTTAAAATATAGCAATTTTGAAGGTTTTCTTTTGAGTAACAAAATTTTCTTTTCTTCTCATAAGGTTGATGTGGAGAGAGATACATGGCAATAAAGATGCTCAGAGAACTCAGATAGAGTATATCAAGTGTATCAAATGGAGACAAAAACAGCTGTAAAATAAATCGTCCAGAAAAATACCACTGAGTGCCTTTAAGCATTTAATGATCCGCGGGTGGAGCATCTAGGGTCAGCTTTTAACCTCAGTTCCCTATACTATTACAAATATCACTAACTGCAGCATAACCACTATATTTTCTAAACATTCACTTATGTAAGGTCCCTGGGTGGCACAAATCATTTGCATTCAACTACTAATCTAAAAGTTGGAAGTTCAAACCCACCCAATGACTCTGAAGAAGCTAGATCTGGCAATCTGATTCCATAAAGATTACAGCCATGAAAACCATATGGTGTTCTACTTTGCAACACATGAGGTCACCATGACTTTGAATGGACCAACGATTTTTTCTTAATTTACATATGTCATACAAAAAGATACAGTTAGACATTAGACAGCCACATGTCCTGCAAATTTTACATACGTGTGTGTATATA